CAGCGGATATGCTGACGACATTATAGCAAAATGTTTGGAAGCAAGGAAAGGTGCCTACTGATTGGAAGAAATGCTACCTGGTCAAACTACCAAAGAAGGACGACTTACATCTCTGATCTTGGTCACGTCATCCTGGAGAGAACAGAAGACGCAGAGGATGCAGAGCTCCGCCCTCTGGAACAAGCTAGATTCGGGAAAGGCAAACCGTGTGCTGATCAAATTGCAAGCATAACATAGACTGGCAGTCAAACCTCTACCTTAATTTCATCGACTTTGGAAGCTACTTCAGTACTTTAGAGTGCAGTGCCTCATATATTTACCAACCTCGTTTAACAGATACGTGACAATGGCACATGTCAGTCAATCCACAACGGAAAACTTAACGAAGTCTTCGAAGACATTACAGAAGTAAAACAAAACTATCTGTTTAGTAGTATTGATGGTATTCGCAATCGCGGTGGATTGGATCATGCACTAGACTGCGCATGGAAGCGACAAGACAGGAATAAGTTGATCGGGTTAGAAGACTCTAGAAGATCTGGATTTCGCTGATGATTTATATCTAATGTCATACAAACTGGAAGATTTACAGGTGAAAGACAACAAAGTGGCTGTGGAGAAGCAGAGAGGACAGGACTTCAGGTGAACATAGAGAAGACGGAAGTGACGAAGATAACCAATCAACAACAACAACAACCAGCAGCAGCAATCGTCATCAACGAGAGAAATTTGAAAAAAGATCACTTCCTTCACTTATCTAGCTGTGCGCCGGCCTCGTGTGGAGCCAGGTATGTCGGCCGTACCCAGCATTCGCTTTCCAAACGTATCACCGAACACTTAGCGACGTGGTTTTACAAAGCAGAAAAACGATGCCCCCGCAGCTCCATCTTAGAACATCTGATAGATTCCGGACACCAGGCTACACATCCCAAACAAACTTCAAAGTCGTCTACAGAATACGAGGTAGTCTTCCTAAAAGTGTAAGAATAAGACTTCTTCAAACAGCAGAAGCAATGGCGATTCACTTGCTCAACCCTGAACTCTGCATTCAGAAGAAGTTCGTTCAATCACTACAATTGAAATGGATGTATTTTGTCTTAATACCCGACAAGTAAATTCTACCCAATCTCTTTTTTTCTGTCTCTTCATTAGCATTATTTTGTCTTCTCAATTGTAATATTTTACATTTTCAATTTTCTTGTTCTCTACCCCCACCCAATTTAATTTCTACACCTCACTACCACTGTTACTGACTTGACTAACGCTCAATTTCTAGTCATTTATGTTACGTCATCCAACTTATTTGCTCAATTTCAGTTCTAATTTAAATGGCATTATTCTCTACCTCACTTGTACTTAGTCTCTACCTGTAATTACTTCTGTTGCTGTCCTGACCTAAGTTGAAACATTCTAGTCACTCATATTACGTCATCTAACTTACTAACTCAATCTTCCTTTAGTTGCTGTCTAACTAACCTTGTTTCTATATTAGATCATTATTGTATTACCTGATCAATTATCTAAACTTGACAAACCTCATGTACACACATACACACAAATAATTATATGTAAATGCGATTGTACAGCGCTATGTGGATGAATTCGCCGTCGAAAAGAGTCTCTTCGCTGAACGTCTTCTACTTTTCATATGACTCAATGGGGATTTTTAAGCTACTCACTTAACTACAAGCGACAGAAACTTGGAGCGTAACCAAAAATCTTTTCGAATGGACCATTGCACACGTTTATCAACAGCTGCTTTCGCTATCTCCATACCAAAGATCAGGTGGCCAGTCAGAAAGAATTAGCAATAACAAACTCAGGAGACGAACCCACCAAGAAGCTATCGCTCAACAAATATGTCTAAGAAGAAAATAGAGATGGATTGGTGGACACAAGCTGGGGATACTGTCAAATGACATCGCAAGCCAGACAGTCCGGCAAGTGGAATCTGAATAGAAAACGAAGAGTTGGGCATGGGTTAGACGGTTAACTGAAGAAGACCATGAGACGAGATGAGACTGTAAGCAATCGCGGCGCCAGCTAAAGACAACGGCAGAAAATAAAAATAAGCGGAGAAATGCTGTTGAAGCCGAATTTTCCACACAGAATCCAAGGGACACAATTATGATAATAATAATAATAATAACACATAATGCAGAACTGCAGCAAAGTACCCGAAGACTGGAAAAAAGGATACTTATTCAAACTACCAAAGAAAGGAGACTTAAGTCAATGCAACAACTGGCGCGGAATTAAGCTCCTGTCTATCCCAAGCAAATTACTAAGCCGCATAATTCTGGAGAGAATCAAACAAGCCCTGGATGAAAAACTTCAACCGGAACAGGCTGGATTCAGGAGAAACAAGTCATGCATTGATCAAATCGCCACATTACGGATCACCATTGAACAAAGCTTGGAATGGCAGTCACCTCTCTATCTCAACTTCATCGACTTTGAAAATGCTTTCGACAGACACCGTCGATCGAGAGGTGCTTTGGCAACTACTTCGCTTCTACGGGGTGCCACCAACAGTTATACATCTCATCAAACAGCTGTACGATAATGCTGCATGCCAAGTAATCCACAAAGGGAAACTTACGGAATCCTTCGAATTGAGGATAGGAGTAAGACAAGGCTGGCTGGCTGCTTACTATCTCCAATGATTTTCCTGATTGCAGTAGATTGAATAATGCGACAAACAGTAGGCAATGAGGAAACAGGCATAAAATGGACCCACACAAAAAACTTGGAGGATCTGGACTTCCCCGATGGTATATGTCTGATTTACCACAAACTGGAAGATATGCAAGCAAAAAGCAACAAGTTAGCAGAAGAAGCATCAAAGATAGGATTTCCGGTGAACATAGAGAAAACAGAGGTGATGAATATTCCTGGGCGACACCACCAACAGCAACAGCAACATCAACAGACAACAATCAGCATAAATGAAAGGAACCTGAAAGAAACAACCTCCTTTACCTACCTGGGAAGCATCGTTTCAACTACAGGCGGATAGAACTGATGAGGATATCAAAGTAATAATAGGAAAAGCAAGACAAGCTTTCATTACTCTAAAGTCTGTGTGGAGGTCAACAACACTCAGCATCAAAAATAAGATCCGGATTTTCAACTGAAATGTGAAGTCAGTGCTACTTACTATACGGATCAGAGACTTGGCCAGCGCGTCATAAAGAGCATCTCAAACAAACTACAGACCTTCATTAACAGTTGTCTTTGCTCAATACCACTCAAGATCAGATGGCCAGAAAAGATCAGCAACAGAGGGGGATCTCTGGGAGCAAACCAACCAGGAACCGATTGTGAAACAAGTAGGCAGGAAGAAATGGAGATGGATTGGACATACTCTGAGGAAACCATCAAGTGACATCACTAGACAAGCCATCGAGTGTAAACTGAAAGGGAAGCGGCGAGTTGGTCGTCCAAGGGTGACTTGGAGGAGGTCATGTGGAGAGGAGATGAAAACGTGTGGGCAGACTTGGAACCAGGTGAAGACTCTAGCAGAGAACCAAACGCAATGGAGACGCACGGCTGAAGCCCTATGTTCCTCTATGAATTAAAGGAAACAATAATAACAATGCAGAACTAAGTGAATTATTCATCAATTATCTTTTCATTTACTTTTATTTATATCAATTTAAACATATGTGATAAATTATCATCAGTTGTGAAAGAAAAAAAAAGCCAGGAAAGGAAAAAAAACCAAAACAGAAGGAACAAACCCCACATAGACATGCATTATGATCAGATCTATTATCTTTTTTTAACAAAACAAACGGCAAAAATGGCAAAATGACAACGTCAACAGACAGTGAAGCTAGCTAAGAACAATCACACTCATTGTTTGAAGACTTGGTGTTTTTATGAAACTACCCTATTGTCCTAGCTGAATTAAACAGACAACAGGGAGGAGGAAAAGGAGGGGCAGCAGCAGCAGCAACAGAAGCATACAGGTCAATAATACACACGTGGATTACGCAACAACATTGACTACTACAAAAAGAGACTGGTTAAGTATATCAGTGTTACGAATAAAACGCAGGCAAATATGTATACATATATTATGGCGATAATGATGTGTGATAATGAAAGTCAATTGATGTATGAATATTAAATTAAATAAATCAATAATGACATTTTACTGTAGTAGCAGCATGACAGAAACCAAAAACACAAGGAAGGGAATTTTTTTACTAAAAACACGAAAAAAAGTCATTGTTAACCGATGGGATAAAATCTTTTGATTATTTCTTTTTTATTGAAATACTGAGGTGGAAAGAAAAAAAGAAGAAAGCGGGAGAAGAGAGAGAGAGTGGGGAAACACAAAAACAAAATAAAATGCATTACAAGACAATATGTTGAGTGCACTCAGTAGAAACTTGAAATTAATGCACTTTTGCTACTTAGTATCGACATACACAGCGTCTGCATAAAAAAAACAAAAATCGGCGAACATGATTGGTTAATTATTTAAAGTTATGTTTACTTGCTGATTGGACAGAATTGTGACAGCCAATCATAAGACAGCTGACACTGACACATATATATATACCAGATCATTGAGAAAATGGTGTTGAATTGCATGGTTTCATGATGATAATAAGCAGTAATAACGATGAGGTGACGTAACACTGTCTTTGTGTGTATGTGTGTGTTTACACACAAAACAGGAGATTCACAACAGACACAAGAAAAAGTGAAAAAATCAAACCACATAATAACAATAATAATATTTCTAAGACAAATGCAAGTTTGACAACAGCAATAACAGTGTAGTAGGAGGGATAAAATCAGTGTAAGGTGATTACGTCAAAATAAAATGAAAACAGAAAAAATTAAAAGCAAAAAACAATAAAGGAAAAATAAACCGAACCCACCCACCCCCAGCACCCGAAAAAAGTATTACGCCAAGTAGGAAAAAGGCAATTATTAGCACTTTTACCCACCAAAATCATAGATATCGAAGTAATAGTAATAACAATAATAATAATAAGTGAGAATAAGTACTCTTGTTATCGAGGGCTAGGGAGGGGAGTAATTGAGAATCACATGATGCAATCCAATAGTGAAACTTCTAAACAGATCATACGGAAGTAGATTAAATTATAGGTGGTATAATGAGAATAAAGTATTATATTAATTTCATTAAATATTATTATAATTATTATTATCATACTTTGAATAAATTCCATAAATAAAGTCAAGTGATTCATTGAACTTCATGCATTTATTTTAAAATGTATATTTATATATATCTATTATTTACTATCACGTTTATCATTGCGACGACTAACAAGTAAATAGGTTTTCATATCCCCTTTACCCTTGACAAATACTTCACCACGATATTCAAATATATACCGCGATTCTAAACGTTTCGCCACTGTCTCAGCCACTTGTATTCTACCTTTTAATCCAGTCGAATACATACGACTAGCTACATTGACTGTATCCCCCCATATATCATACAGTAATTTAGTTGTCCCAATGACACCAGCTGTCACTTCACCAATATTATAGCCAACTTTTAATTCAAACTGGAAATTAAACATTTGACGATTAAAATCATCCAGTGTATGAATTAAATCTAAGGCGAAATCAAGTAATGCCCATAAATGTTCATCTGGTTGTTTATTCCGTTTTCTTTCAGTCATATTCAATCCAGACGCTGCCATAAAACACGCACCGATCGTCTTAATCTTTTCAACATCTTTATATTTTGGTGCAGCCAACTGATGTTCAAAATCAGCAAATATTTCATTCAAAACACGTAGCATCTCTTGCCCGCCTTGATATTGTTCATCATAGAATTCAGAGAAATTAGCTATGCAGGCGAATACTACACCAGCATCTTCTATATGCTGTGAATATTTATTATGCTGACGTAAATCATTCATAATATAATAGGGGATAATATTCTCTAATAACCAATCTGCTTGTAATTTTTGATGTCCAATAGCTTGTTTCGCTCGTAGTGCTTCATAATCTCGATGAAAACTCAATCGGAAGTTTATATCGAATTCACGATTTAACATACCGACTAGTATGAGTGTAAGCAATGCTATCAAGATGTACTCACTAATTGCATTGTCTGATAAAGCTGTATATAACCATAACGGATAGGTCGGTAGCGGCATTGATGATGTTGATAGGGAAAGTGGTATCCGATTGGTTGATACATTGAAACTATTCAGCATAACAGGATACCATGATTGAATATGTTCCAGTGAACATGTCGACTGTATAACTTTATGCAAACCAATCAATAGGCAACCCAATAAACAAACAAATGTTGCTGATGCTGTTTTTGTCCATGATGAGAATGATGTATAGAGAGTACAATTAATAAACATAAATGTGAATAATAATCCAATTTGTGTACGATAAGTGGCATATAGCAAAGGTGAATAGATTGTATTCCATTTTGTAATCACGGATGTGGTTGTATAACTTGTAAATAAACAATACGAATATGAAGATAATATTAGTGAAGTTGGTAAAATCAATATAAATACACCAATAATATTACGTGATTTCCAACGAAATAACCTGCCGTATAATCGAATTACAATACGTCGCCAATCATTACGATTTTGAGGTTTTTTTGTTACAGATTTATTATTAACATTATTAGTATTATCTCGACGTCTTGGACACCATGCCCATGCAGCTAAATCTGAGATGAATAACACTAACAACAGGGTATGTATCATAAAAGCAATAAATAGGATAATATAAAATGCTGGTGTATTCACTGCTAATCGTGAATCAGGAAAGATAATAAAACATGTCAAGCCGATGATAATAATCAATATTGTCTCAGTGATTGTATTAATAAACGGTGCTATACGTGGTGTTGACCAGGACAACTTTTCAATTGAATGAATTTTTGGACGTTTCAATCCAAGACTACGATAACTATGCTCAACAATCGGGACAAAAAAGTTTAGCGTTAATCGAGATATCGGTGGAAAGATGAACACTTCATCGGGTTGAACAAAATCTTGTAGTGCTTGTAACATCTCGACGTCAGAACCACGGCCAATAAACGATTGGGGTGTTGTTGTATTAGTAGTTGTAGTTGTATTGACAGTAGCCGCAGTAGCAGCAGCAGAAGCGACAGTATTAGTCGTAATAGCAGCAGTATTATTCATGGGTGCTACTGTTGAAATAGACTGAGGAGGAGGAGGCAATTGATTAGTACTGGGATTATCTCCACTACTGAGAACATTGACAGGATCAGATTTTGTCATAAGTGGATGATGTTGATGATCCGGTGTAGCTGATGATACTGGAAGAGTATTGATTGTCTGTGAATTCGACAGGTTAATCGATGAATTAGTTCCAGCAGTGTACACATTATCCTATAATGGAATAAATATTATGAATACTAAATACACAATTATTAATTGTAATCAATTAATTAATACTGTATATACACAAAAGAAAATCCATTAATTCATAGATTGATGCCAGATTTAGATTTGACTACCCCCTAACTCTTTTGTAACTTAATCGCATGTCAGCTAGCATTGTTCAATGCGAGAGGAGATTGCTTAGCATGCCCAGTGTGTGTTTTTTAACCATCTCAGTCAATGTAGCTATACAACCTCACCAGTTGACATGTTCTGCTTGCCTAACAACACTCCACACCTAAGCTGAATATTACTCATCAGATTTTACCAGTTAACATAGGAAACAGAGCGCAAACACCCTGTGGTTAACGATGGTCAGTCTTTTCATATCTTCCACTTTTAGTGACCATATATGTCTCAAAACCATAAAGGAAGACAGAATGAATTGTAGGCAGTTTGCACCTTCCTACACGGTAAACAACAAACTAATAGTCAAACATTTCATAAATTGATGACATGTTTCAAATTGACGACCCATAACGCGCATTTCAGCTAATATTTCTAGACGAGAAAGGTGTGTTGCCTTGGGATATATAACACGTGAAGTTAGCAGTCATAAAAACCATAAGGTCTACCACAGTATCTTCACCTCGTAGCTTCATAATCATGAATTTGACCCCTTAATAGAGTTATTGTTTAAAAATTTAAAACAATTAGTTCCCTTTATGAATTTAGATAAAGCAATAAAAAGACATAATTTGTCTGAATCGTACAATGGTATTTGCGCAACACATTTAGAACAGTCTGATCACACACGGACTTGTCATAGGAATGAATATATGTGAAATTAATAAGGACTTAAGAGGTGAGAAAATAGACTTAGGTCAAGTTAAAAGGACATATTCAAGGTCAAAATAACAATGAAGACCACTAAACCGAATAGCAGAGGTAGTAGTACATCCACCCCGCCTGGTATCAAAACAAAATTTTACCAAGGAAGGTTTAATGTGATGACGAATTGTTGCTTTGAACGCATAAAGGTTGCTTAAACTTTCTAATTGCCAGTTAGGGCTTCCACAAACTTTCGGATACGCCCCAAACACGTTTTATAGGTAGGTTTAAAAGATCTATTAACGTCAGTTTTATGTCCTGTCTCTATAATATGTTTCGCAATAGAGGAGCTAGGTCTCATCACTAATGAGTTCTGAAGATTCCATTTGTTTCTGGAGCCATTTAGGAATACGCTCTGAAACCAGCCCTTACTTGAAGAGATCAATAAGTCCTCCCTATGTGGGATGCAACATCACTTTTCGCATGGTCAAAGAGCTTAGATGGATATATTGGCTTCACATTCCGAATTATTATGATATTCATTGCATAAAAGGTCTTTTTTAACAGCAGCATTCAATCTTTGTCTAGTTATCAAGCTGCTATGATGTCCCATATAGGGTAGGTAGCTTGATGTACACGTCTTTCTTAGGGACGAGTTGAAGAGTGGGTCTTGGTGTTCCACTGACTACTTTATATCTCCTGATGAACTTGTCTGGATAATTGTTATCAACCAGAGTTTGTGTCAACTTTCTTTCTTCTTCATCAAGTGAATATTCGTTGGATTCTACTGAACTTTTAACTTGACCTAAGTCTATTTTCTCACCTCTTAACTCTTTATTAATTTCATATATATTCCTATGACAAGTCCGTGTGTGATCAGATTGTTCGAAAAGAGTTATTGTTGTTGTATACTGCGAAAAAATTTGAAACTAAGAGAAAACAGATTTTTGTGATTACCTTGGACAAATACGTTTATCATAGTGAATAACTCTCATGATAAGTGATGGCTATCTCAGTGAGAATTATCAGGCGTCAACAAAAGTGAACTTTGTGAATATTAAGAAGAAAAACAAAGCAGAGTAAAGCTTGAGAAACACTATCTACAAGAGCTGATATATACATAAACACGAATTTCAATGTGAAAAACGCGCCTACTCCAAATTTTACAACTCAAATCGATTTAAACGCTTTTCTTGTTGCTTTTTTGCAAATTTAAACAAGTTTTGAAAATTTCACATTCATTTTCAACTATTCAACAAAAACAACAACTAGCTTGCTAGTTTTCTAGCCCGTTCCAAGCCCTGGCAAAGAGGGAGGGTTGGATGTGACCCTAGCTATCCTACACCACAAAGCTAAAAAACTGCTACAGAAAATTCAACGAACAAAAAATTCAAGTAATAAACTGCACAGATTCATATTTTTCTTTCTGTTTACTTAATTCAAGTACTTTTAAATTTCTCATGATGTGTCCTTTTCAATATAAAACAAAACCCATTGTACATATGTGTAACATTTATGTGCGAAAGCTGTTGAATGTTACTCAGAGAAGTGTGACTATTAATCCTCTCTTGAAAACAACACTGTGGAAATTGATTTCTTCTTGAAGCATTTTCTGTTGTATGACTGCAGAACTCAAGGGATAAGTGCTTGAGGCCAGTCACACAGACACACACACTGCCTAATTGACTTGGCTTTTAGAGTTATCTATGTATCAAGATCATTACTACTGTCTATAGATTGCCACAAGCTACAAGTGGGGATGTACAATATCCACGGTCAACCTTCTCCAATCCACCTTCTCCCAAGAGTGGAGAAGAAGCGCGATGTTGGTTTGTTAGTCATCAGAAGGAAACATCTTATTGCTGTTACATCCTTATTTGGCAGCAAAAGGGCTTCGCTCACAGATCCAAAGACCCTCACCCCCAGCCAACACCGTATCATCGATTTACATTACAAGTGCTAACTGATTTCAATCTAATCACTATCCAAACGACCTTCTGGTAGTGACAGGATCTGTCAGTGTATCGTTGCGATATGCAATCCTAACCACCACTTTAAGATAGAAGTGTGGTGACAACCGTTTGCCAGACAAATCGGTAGACAGCAATTTACGTCAATGTTTACGTCCCAAATATTGGTCATGAGAAAAACAAGAACAAAGACTAACTCAACAGCCAATCACAGCAGACTTTGCGTAGGCGGATACGATTCGCAGATAGATGATCTGACCTTCAAAGAAACGGCCACAAAGAGATGATAGATTAACTTCCAGAGAGAAAACAACCAATCAGAAGACGCCGTTTCTATAGGACGTCATTGCATTCAGCTAACAGTCGATTATCCATAAATACAATACATAAACACATTTCTGCTAACAAATTAACAAGTAAAGAAGAGAATCAACACTCGTGAATAATCGCAGTAGAAAATGACGGACAGAATAAAGTTTAAGACTATATTAAAAGGAGGTTCGTCTCCTTGTCAAGAAGTTCATAGGTGACAAGTAAACTGATTTCTATACATACTAAACAAGCACCAGTGATAAGAATAGTAGAATTTATTTTATTCCTATACATTCCCAGTGGAAGTTTCGGTAGCAATGGGGTTTATTCTTAGAGGATATGGGTTGCCAGCCTTCCCTTTTCACCGATGTTATTATCGGCTTAAGTATGGTTGTTTAGGAGTGGGTCTGGCCGGAGATCGAACCCCAGTCCGCATACACAGAAGTAGATTGAATAAACAAATATTAAAGTATGTGACTTTAGAATTAAATCATGCGGATCCAAATCATACACAGTAGGGAATATGCCCCTTCTCAAAGTTTCAAACACTCTTTGCCGATATTTATCATTGTGGAAGAAATCAAGCTTCAATGCTTCCGACTAATTTAAACTCTTTCTAGCATCTAATATCAGAAGATACTGTATTAATCATAGCTCAATTACTCGTAGGTTATAAGCCAAATTTATTATTATGTGTCAGCCGGACAACAATATACAGCCATCTGGAAGTGGAGTAGGTGGAGTAGAATTCGAACCTAATATCCAATGAATGTAATTTGAGTGCTTAATTCAATGAGTAATATCTTCATAAGCGAAAGTGAGGTGCACTCTTCAATGCATTTTTAATAATGCATCAGTCAGCTTAAGTCAATATGATAGAGAAGATTTGTAGCTCAGGTGGATGATTTTGATGTGGTTGTGCTCTCTGAGCTGGATAGTTAATTTGCGAAGCTTTCATTGCCCCACCACTAGGCAACATCTTCAGCGCATACTTCAATTTACTGGAGTGAGCTTTTAGATTTCTCCACGAGTTTATTGATCATCTCTCCTGGTGACCTTGGACGTGATTGGTTGTTTTTGTGTGTTTTCACACCTTCTAGGTTATTTGTATTGCAACTCATTGTTTCTTTGGGTCAAAGTTCAAGTCAAAGAAACAATGAGTCACAATACAAATAACCTAGAAGGTGTGAAAACAGACAAAAACAACAAATCACGCCCAAGGTCACCAGGAGAGATGATCAATAAACTCCTGGAGAAATCTAAAGGCTCACTTCAAATTGAAGTATGCGCTGAAGATGTCGCCTAGTAGGGCGATGAAAGCTTCGCAAATTAAGTCAATATATTGCGTAATTCGATCTACCACACACTTTTTTTCATTCTTCTGTATTCCGAGAGGAACATAAAACTTCAAGCTTGAAGTTTGAGGTTTCAGTAGCGTTGGTGTTTTGTTTTTTACGGAGTGGGGTTTCCTAGCTTTACTGGCTAAGCGAATTTTTAGAAATCGTGTCAGCTGGGAATCGAACCACATACCACATAAGTGGTTGGCGAGCATTCTACCCTTGAATCACTGATGCAGAGCCGGAGTGTTACGGTCCGGAAACGAACCCCATTGCCCGTATTAAAAACACAGAATTAGACAACTATATTGGTCATCTCTATATACTAACTAGTAAATCACACATCTTTATGGAAAAAAAGCCTCTACTAAACTAAGTTTGAATCTGAAAACAACTAAACCATATAGAACAAAAGGAAAACAAAACATCCCCTACTTAATTCTTCTCCGTCTCCAGTATGCTGAGTAATACAAGACTTAAATACACTGCTCACATAGCTAGGTATCTACTAAAGGACTGTAGAGAACCAATATGGTGAATAAAACTAGAAATGGGCATCATAGTGCACTAGCTCCAATAGTTATGACACCAAAAGAACGAAGACAAAGCCGACACTTACCAAGCATTTTATATGAGTGATATATTCTCAAAGACTTCATTCTACTACACTGACCTATAAGCACGTCCCTCTTAAGACATAAGTGAACTAAACTACACGCAACTGTTTAAAGTACCGTAATAAGCCCACAAAAATAATCAATACAGTCAGTTAGATAACATCTCAGTTCATCCTAATTCTAAATACAGTCTATGAAATATTGCCCAAAACAACCATTTTTTTTCCAATTCTATGCAATCAGTTGGCGATGAGCCATATCTATTGGCATGAGGCTGAACAACGTTATCTGCTTGCCAAAACCTTGGTAGACGGAGTGCGGCGGGGGGGGTTCGAATCTGTGACCCACTGGTTGAAAGTCGTCTGCCTAAACCAACAATGAGTCATAGTTTCGCATTCACAGATGTTATATGAATGTCTCCACGGTATATTTTGTACTACACATCGAATGTGCATAAAAGTTAGTAATGAATTTAACAGTTTGATAACTTCATGAATATATATATACATATGTATAATGCGATCAATACAATCGAAAATGCAACACACAAACTCGACGGAATGCATAAACCTATACCTAACAACGTACTTCCAATTCAACGGACAAATATATGAACTAGTCAAAGGAACACCCATGGGATCGCCAATATCAGGTTTGATTGTAGAAGCAGTGATGCAAAGGCTCGAAAACATAATCCTACCAAAGATCAAACACAAGATTTCGATACGTTACGTAGACGACACATTTGTAATAATCAAAAGAAAGGAGTTAGATGAAACTCACAACCTGATAAACAACGTCTTCAACGACATCAGATTCACAAGAGAAGAGGAATCCGAGAACAAAATCCCATTTTTGGACGTCAAGCGAAAAACCATAGGGGAATTAGAAACTCAAGTTTATAGGAAATCAACTCACGCAGACCAAATACTGAATTACAACAGCAGCAATCCAATAACACACAAAAGGAATTGCATACAAAAACTATTCAAGAGGGCCAGGACTCATTGCAGCACTCCCACCTCAAGGAAAATTGAAGAGAGATATCATGGACGTCTTCCAAAAAAATGGATATCCACGAAACTTCGTCAAAAGACATATACCCCCAAGCCAACCTATCAAACCAAAAGCCCCCAAGGAAAGCACAAAGAAAGTCGCCCTGCCATATATAAAGGATATATCAGAAATCACTGCAAGACTCTTCAAACCTTTAGGAATTGACGTCGCACACAAACCAACAAAATCACTTCACTCACTTCTATGTCAACCAAAAGACTCAACAGCGAAAGAAGATAAAACCAACATCATCTACAAGATAAATTGTAACAACTGCAAAAAACACTACACTGACCAAAGTGGACATCCCCTTCGTCTTCGTATCCACGAACATAAGCTAGCCGTCAAAAGACATGACATCCACTCCCTCATATCACTACATACAGACAACCACGGACATCAATTCGATCGGGACAATGTTGAAATATTAGAAAGAGGAAACAACAACAATGCTAGAGAATTTTTAGAAGCTTGGCATTCCAGTGAATCATCAATCAATAGACACATAGAGATAGACAAAATTTATCAACCGATAAGAAAGAAACGTCACACACAAAGGGTCAAAGTTCAAGTCAAAGAAACAATGAGTGACAATACAAGTAACCTAGAAGGTGTGAAAACATACAAAAGCAACCAATCACGTCCAAGGTCGCCAGGAGAGATGATTAATAAACTCGTGGAGAAATCTAAAAGCTCACTACAGATTGAAGTTTGCGCTGAAGATGTCCCCTAGTAGGGTGATGAAAGATTCGCAAATTAACTATCCAGCTCAGAGAACACAACCACATCAAATATATATATATACCACGCTTCATCTGAAAATATAAGAGGGAGTTGTAGTTCATTGGCTTAAGTATTTAACTTTTAACTGACAGGTCTCCTAGGTTCGAATCCTGCCCCACCTATTGCATCAACTCAGCCGACTGACTTTACAAAATAATAACTGTACTTCATAGGCTGGTGCAAAGTGAAAGGTAAATCCAAGGGGTAACTGGGATCACGACCGTAAAGATATTTTAGCGTTAGAAAAACAATCGCTACATAAAATAAGACGTTAAAAACAAGGTTTTTTTCGTAATGCCCTTTTTTTATCGGCCCCCAAGTGAGAATCTCAAGACTGGATGAGAGAAGCTAAAATAGCCCATATGTATATAATGATTGTATACGTATATGTCTCAAATAAATAAATCAATAAATACATGAATAACTTACACTTGGTGGACTGACTGATTCAACTTCAATTTGAGCCTACAAAAGAGTAAATAATAATACAAAAGGTTTTATTTAATAAAAAAGAAGTATTGAATATTATTCTGTGCAGTACTGTCCCGTACTCCAGGACTGGTTGTCGTCAGTGGCTGTCTAACTCATATCAATCCATGGTCAAACTTGAAATAAAACTCCTGGAAATAAACCTGACGCTCTCCAGTGAGTAACTTGATGGCTGACTATGTGACGAAGTTGCCTGGAGTTCTAGTAGCAAGTCGTATTCACTGGGAGATCATCTATCCAGTCGGAAGTGAGGACAAATACTCGCCCATAGATAGCATTGGCTGGTGGTGCCAGTTGCATGAAAATCGTGAATTGGTAGAAGTTAGAATTCATATGCCGGTCATGTGGTCTACCAGCTTGCCTTTTAATCGGAAGGTCATGGGTTCGAACCCTGGAGGTGGGTGAACACTGCCAAATCAGTCGCGAACTCAGAAGAAACAGTTGTCCAGTTCTCCTTGCAGGTTCCCGATCTGTGATCAATCTGTGATGACAAATCGAATTCCTACAAACTAACTCCTGAATATTGATTGTTCAGTTCTTTGCAGCGTTTTCTAAACAAAGGTACTGTCTTCAACGAAGGCATTGATACAATGATGCTATCCTCTACGTTAGTGTTCAAATGGGGCGTTGAGATCACCAGAACCTACCTACCTACACTTTGCAGTTATTCAGAATATTGCTAGCACAACCGGTGAATAACGGAAACACCTTCGTCATAAAATCTGCTGACAAGTTCAAAGTTGGTCTCATTTACAACTGGAAAGGTTACAATTATGGTGTGTACTTACCGGTGACTTTGAAATTTTATAGACTTTCGGATGCTTTATGAATCATTCACTGATAATTATTGTTCATTATGCATCTCTTATGTTTCCCTTCATCACCTATCCCACAATTAACGTAATTATTTATAATTCCCGCGTAAAAAATTGACAAGCCTTAGGTATTTTGTCACTTAAAATTTAGATTTGACGCTATAGCTTATAACTTATTCGGTTGAAAGCAGATTTTTTTTTAAACAATCTATTTACTTATTTGTACATTTCTCTTTCAATGTTCCTCTCACATAAATCAGTGTTAGATCTCTGTCTAAATTAACAAGTCATATTATATATATTCTACCAGTTCTAATTAGTGTACATATTGTTATGCTGGTAAAAATGGCTGGTTTCTGTTCCAGAAATAAATTGTTATTATTCTATTTACCAGTTGATCACGGGTTGATATCAGTTAGAGAACCATTGGAAACCAGGGAGTACTGGACAGCTGCTGTTTCATCCTAGTTTGGGAATCAATCCATGATCAACTATTAAAAACATAACTAACCCTTACAAACCAAACTATAAAAAATTAATCTGATGCTCGCTGGTGACTTGCTACAGGATGGAGTTTCCTGGAGTTCTAGTGAGAAGTCGTGACCAGTGAGGTCCAATTAGATGTCACTTGTGTGGATGGATATCCCACCAACGACAACGGTTGGGGTCGCGCTAAATCACGAATTGGTAGAAGTTAGAATTCATGGGCTGGCCATTGAATCGGGTCCCATTGGCTGAATGGTATACGACCTTGCCTTGTAACCGAAAGATCCTAGGTTCGAACCATGGTGTTGGGTGCTTACTGCCGACGATTCCCAAACTAGGATGAAACAGAAGCTGTCCAGTACTCCCTGGTTTCCAATGGTTCTCTAACTGATATCAATCCGTGATCAACTCGTAAAAACATAACTAACCCTTACAAACCAAACTATAGAAAATTATTATTATTATTGTAACCACCAGTCACCATCAGTAATGGGATGAATTTAAGGGAAGTTATCTCTCTCGCACATACACACACACACTCACCTAACTTGGAGAGCATCATTTTAACTACAGGCAGCGGTAACGGCACCGATAAAGATGCCAAAACCAAACAAAATAGGGAAATCAAAACGAACGTTCATTACCTTGAAATCAATGTGGACATCTCTATAGAATACTCACTCAGTACAAGAAGTTTTAAACCCTAATATCAAGACAGTCAGTACTTCTTATATGGTTCATAGATTTGACAAGCACGTCATCACCCAAAGCACATCCAAAAAGCTACTCTGCAGGATCACATTAAAATCTGTTCGCTTCACTGCATGGATACTGAACAACAAATGTCCAGTAGGAAAAGAACACTGACAAAACGAAACATCTGAGCACTTACACTATATTGCTTAGGAAATATGTAGAAGCGAATGGATCGATCGGGAATGCACTGAGAAGATCGTTGAGCGACATCACGTGTCACACATACTCGAATATAGCCACAATATGGAATGGCGAGATGGGTGTCCGTGGGTGACATAGAGAGGGTCGTGTGAGAAGGTGAAAAACGAAAGCTTATGGACAGTTTATCGAGCAAGTTCAAGATTATTATTATTATTAGTGTTCCCTTGGTTTCAACTACACGTCTCCACTTGCTTCTGTCTTCTGCTGTACTTTTCACCTGCATCCATGTTAGTCCATTCTGTTTCAGCTCCTCTTCACACGATCTCCTCCATGTCACCCTTGGACGTCCCACTCGCCGCTTCCCTTTCGGGTTCCACTCGAGCACTGACCGGACGTGCGATGTCACCCAACGGCCTCCTCAGCGAGTGTCCAATCCATCTCCACTTTCTCCTGCATATTTGTTGAGCGATTGGTTCTTGTTTTGTTTGTTCCCATAGTTTCTTGTTGGTGATTCTTCCCAGCCATCTGATCTTCAGTATAGAGCGAAGACAGTTGTTGATAAAGGTCTACCTCCAACTTGTTGGAAATAATCTTGGTGACCCGCCAAGTTTCTGATCCGTAAAGCAAAATTGACTTCACGTTTGTATTGAAAATCCGAATTTTGTTGTTGATGCTGAGTTGAGTGACGAAGATTTCCAGATTGGTTTCAGGTTGATGACGAATGTGTTTCTCGCCTTCCTAATTCTCGATTTAACATCCTCGTCCGTTCCTCCTGTAGTTGAGACAATACTCCCTAGAATGAAGTGAATGAAGTAACCTCTCTTTCAAATCCCTCTCGTTGATTGATTGGTTGGCGGCGCTGAATGTTGCTGCTGTATTTAATTCACAACGCAATTACAATTGATGTACACCAGTTTCAACATATAAGCAATTCAAAGCAATCAATAAGTGAAAAACAAAATGATAAAATTACACGAGGAAATATTAACCGTACAAATATATCACACATCAACTTACCGGTGGTAAACTGACAACTGGTTTATTATCTAAGCGTCTTTCAATAAAATAAGTTTTAATCACTAAAAAGCAAAAAAGAAAGAAAAAGAACAATGAAATCCTTTTTTAAAACAAAAACAAACTAGTCAATCAAACACAATCGATAAGAATCAAAAAACAAAAAAAAATTCACAGGAATACAAAAACGCAAGGCCGATTTAGCGAAAAATCAGAACCCGGAAAATAAAGGCTATTCAAGCATGATTGTAGTGTTTTCCACATAATGAGAGGAAGCAATAAATTGAAAGAGAGAGAGAGAAACAGAGGCAAAAATAGTAGTTAGCCATAAAATAAATCAATAAAATAAAAAACTGAAGCAGCATTATTTTATGTAACAAACAAGAATTATTTCGAGGTGATCGTGTTACTCTGGGGTATGAAAATAGATAAGTGGTCATTTATTCCTTTTATAAAAATCTCTTGGGGAAACATGTACAGCCTGGGAGTACTGGACAACTGTTTTGTCCCACCTAATTTAGGACTCTTCATCAGTACGCACCCAGGATCACCTGGTTACAAGGCGAGCTCGTAGGCCATTAAGCCACTGGAACCCGATCCAATGGCCAGTCCACGAATTCCAACTTCTGCGACCACTAGCGAATGGGTTCTAGTGTGAAGTCGTGACCAGTAGGGTGCAGCAAGTCGGGCGTGAGGACAAATACTCGCTACCGACGACATTTTCTAGTGGTCGCGCCATATCATAAATTGGTAGGAGTTGGAATTCATGGATCATTGGATTGGGTCCCTTGTAACCAGAAGACCCTGGTTTCGAACCCTGCAGGTAGCTGCGTACTGCTGAAAAGCCCCAAACTAAGGCGAAACAGTTATTCAGTACTCCCTCCAATGGTCTTCTATACGACGTCAGTTCAGGATAAAATCCCGAAGATGTACATCAACTGGTTTATTCTCATGATTCTTGTAATATAGACGCACGTCCAGTAAAAACTATGGCAAATATTAAATATCTTGAACTAAGTCTTCCCTCTGATATTTCCTGGTCTTCCTATATCGTGTTTATTTCTAAAAGCCTATTTCTACGTTTCGTGCTTGTTAGCACTCGTCAGTACATTTCGTCTAACATTCTACATAATGAAGTCAAAGCGGTCTCGTGTCATTCAACATTTTTCAGTTTCTTAATTCTTGTATTCTACGCAAACTTCTATATTCCTCATCCTTGATCTTCCCTAGACTACGTAAAAAAAAGACTAGGTTACTTTGAGAAGGACAGTAAAAGTTGTCAGTACGGTGAGTTAAGTGTCACTAAGCCAGCTCGTCATTATTACAATAAACAACAGACACAATTGAACTCAGTCAGGAAATTGCTAAAAATCCACATTATTATTATTATTATTATTATTATTATTATTATTATTAAGACTATTAAGATTATTATTTGATTCCCAAAATCACCGTCATTGGTTAAAATTTTATATATAAATCTATGTAAATTAGAGTAAAGCCTGAAGAAGATCTAATTGAAAACAATATTGTTCGCTTATATGTCTTGTTCTAATATTATAAATGGGAATATTTAAAGATTTAAAAATCCATTCGTCGAACTCTCAACAACATCATCAATCACTGCGGAATGCAGGCACATCCAGCTGACGAGTCCCAAATAGGATGAAATGTGCATCCTAGATTCCACTGCTAGTCACCATCCAACAATTAACTCTTTATATATAATTTAAACAATTAATTTACCTAGAAAAAACCTGCATCAAGTATATCTGCAATCAAACCAGTGAAGTAGTAGCCGTAAGGATGTTTACATCAGCCAGTAAGTACTACCTAATTATTCTCGACGGTTAAGAACTACTCCTAATTAGTAATAAATAAATGTCAGTAAAAAGTTTGAGCATTATGGATTAGATCAAATAAAGTACAAATATATATTTCAATAGTTTACACACAATGATAAGTTTTGTTATTGTTAATATTTCGAGCAATATTACAACCCGTGTTCATACCACTGTTGGAATTGTTTTGTTCACACATTTATGATTTGAACTCATACATATAGTTCATTATTTTTTTGCTCATTCATGTTTTTTGTATTCAGAATTATATTCCAAGTTGTTGATAGTTGTACTGAGTCACCCTTGTTACATGTATCCGGTGTGACTTTAATGAATATCGATTCTGTTATAAGTCTTTCTTTCCATGTTAGTTTTTAGAATACACACATTGTTCCAATCGATATTGTGGTTTTTGTCCCATGCATGTGCAGCTATTGATGAATTTTTCCAAGATTCTTGTAGGCTTGTGTTCCTGTTGGTTGACCTTTGGTTCGCCGTTTATGTTCATTCGCTCTTATTTTGAGTGATCTGGACGTTTGCCCCGAATATTTAGTCGGACAGTCAGCACAAGACATTTTGTAAATCAAGTTGTTTTTATCCATCATTTTTATGAGATCTTTCAGTTGATTTATTTTATTTTTGATTAGATTTGTCGGTTTAAACGTTGTGCGAATGCCGATATTTTTGAGGTTTCTTTGAATTGCCTCAGATGTGCCATTTTTATATGGTATTGTGACTGTTTTTTTTGCATTCTTCCATCTTGTTATTCTCCGGTTTTACCCTCTTTTTTATATTATCTTTTATAAATTCTTTTGCGTAATTTTTTTCGAGTAGCATTTTGAATAGGACGTTTATTTCTTTACACTGATCCTCTGGTGTTGTTGTAAGTCTACATATTCTATTTGCAAGTCCTTATAGTAATCCTCGTTTCACCGTGAGTGGATGAGCTGAGTGATAATCAAGGAATCTTCCAGAGTGTGTGGTTTTTCTATACAGCGTCGTTCTAATGCTACCATCTGTTATTCTTTGTATTTTGCAGTCTAACATAGGCAGTTCCCCAATTTCATTCTCTAATTTCATAGTGAATTTTATTGAGTCTACATGGCTGTTTATGTGTGAGAAGAGTTTCTCAATATCGTTTTTTTCACTATTACTAGTGTGTCGTCTACATATCTCCACCAATATTTTAGTGATGACCTGAATGGTTTAAGGGCATTCTCTTCCCAATAATCCATGAATATGTCAGCTATTATTTTTATTTATTTTTTATTATTATTCTTTATTACAGCTTGATGCCACACCGTATTTTCAGTAGAAGTATGGAATTGGTGAGATAGGCGATCCCATAGCTACTTCTTCATTTTGTTGGTATATTTTCCCTTCGAATGTGAAATATGTTGTTGTCAGACAGAATTCCGCCCCTTTTATTATTTCTTCTACGGATAACTATGTTCTGTCTTTTAGGCCATTATCTTCTTTTAGTACAATATTTTCGAAGCATTAAGTTGAAAAACAATTCCAACAGTGGTGTGAACACGGGCAGTAATTTTGCTCGAAATATTACCAATAACAAAACTTATCATTGTGTGCAAACTATTGAAATATATAATTATGCTTTATTTAATAAATAAATACTTCTGCACAGCAGGAAAAGTACTTAAATCAAGGTAATTAAAATTGAAGAAGTCAAAAAGGGGGGAAAACTTTAAACGAAATAACCACAAATATACGATGGAAATTATAAAAAACAATTTAGGTATCCGATAATTTCGAAAAGTTATATTTCATCGTTTCACGAATAGGAAGAATAGTTATGCGCTTTCCGCGGTGAGTGAATGTCAACATTACTGAACACAACCACTTGCAGTTCTATGCATTAATGACTATCTAAACCTACCTCGCTCCCATATGACCGGGTGTCATACATAGCCTCTCTTGAGGAAGTCCTACTCACTGCCTTCACGTGGCGGAGGTGTTTTTCACCAAAGTGAAAGGGCGAAAGCGGATGCCCGGCGCTCTTCACCGGGTTGATTGTCCATTGGATGACAGTCTAAGGGAGATGGCTAAACCCTGATTCCAAACCTCCAACGACTGGCGTATGAAGCTCACTGGAGCTCACCGGCAGACGTATGGACAAAGGGCTTGTTGGATGTCCTGGATGTCTGGCCCCATTCAAAAAGGCGTATGAACCGAACTCCGGTCACCGGCTGCCAATGGATAATGGACTCCCTACTCCACTCCTACTGCCTTGTAGGTCACACTTGGTTGTGTTAAGGCTAGAGCTGCACTCTCAAACAAAAGGCCGAGCGATTCTGGGGACATCACTAGTACCTAATTCCCATGAAACTTCATGAACTCTCTTCATCAGATCGCCGCGCTTGGGCAGCGATGATTCGAGATGTTCATGAAGCCGGCTCATCCTCCCGTAGGAGATAACCGAAGTAAAGTAAAGTAAGTAAGAGTGGAGTTCGAACACCTGTGACCTAAACTAATTTAGCCACAAGCTTCATGGACAAATGTCCCCAAAACGTTGATTAAAACAAAAAATCTAATAAAAATATGGTTATTTCAAATTCAATGAACTAGTTTAAAGATATTCCAAATAAAAAACAAAAAACTAAAAAAACATCCAGTGAATTCAGATATTACTATGTATTTCAATTAAAAATTGTTATAAGCATGGGAAAAAATTAACAAAAGTAACTAAATTGTTGTGTGATATAAGCGTACATGCGTGTGACGAGAGAGAGAGAGGGAGAGACTGAGAAAATGTTAAAAAGTCACCTAATTTTTATGTGTTAGTGAGATTTTTACATCCTCGCACAATTGTTGTTGACTGACTTTCAGAAGTAGGTGTCTCAGAATACATACATACAAACTATCAGCTGAATAACTAACTACTAACAACCACCATCAGAAAACGCGCTTATTTTATGTATTCATTGCAAGCATATACACACAGACGCGTTGTTTGCAAATCCAGGATTTCTACCTTTTACTACCATTATATCACTGACTTGAAATTCAATGCAACTTCTGATTTTTGATTTTTTACTTTTTATTCCTTCACGTTCCCAGTGGAACACATAGGGCACCTTCAAGTTAGAGGCTTGAAATTTCTGTAGCAGTGGTGATTATTTTTACAGGTTGAGGTTGCTGGCCCCACGCCCAACCTTTCCTCTTTGCCAGCTTCTTATTACTGGCTTAGAGAGGTAAAGGAGTGC